TATACAATAATATATCATATATACCTATGTTTTACGATAAAAATTCTCCTACGTGCTTACCAATGTTGCTGTTAATTATAGTAATACCTACTATGTTTGTTCAACTTGCAGTAATAAGCCGTATTATAAAATGGATATATATATATATACACAGTACATACTATTTCCTACATTATGTAGGATGACCGACATCATTCGTCTCTATAATAAGTTTCGATAAAACGTCATGACGACGAGTCAATGTACTTATGTAGCTAATAGCTATATAATTTAATATACGCTTATGCAATTTTAATGCACTAAGTATTCACGATTCACGTTCTTCTTTTAGTTATTATTATTATAGCTATTGGGAATACTGCGCAGGGTGCTATAGTATAACGTATAATACATATAACACACACCACTGTTCACGCCTCCTTAAGCGCATTTCCTTTGAGAAAAGTCAATTATTAAATATTTTATGACACGGTTTCTTCCCCGCACACTATATACGCGTAGTTGCATTAAATAATATAACAAACTGCAGGGAGTGCATACTATATAATATTGAAGTCGAATTCATAAACATAATATAATATGTACAACTAAAGTGAAATACGGTCGAGTGAGTTTTTCGATTTCCAGCTCTGGCGTCTTAAATTTACAAGGGAAAAAGCTGCGGTATACAGCAGCAGCTGAAATATCACTGCTTCGTAACACTGCACAGTAGCTAGAAACATCAAAGGGTTAGGTCGTTATTTTTGGTGTTCTCGGAAAGGATCCGCTCCGATGACTTCTATAATAATAATTTGTCTTACCGTCGTGTAAACGACATTTTTCGGATGTTTGGAATGTTCGGCGACAACGACGACGTATATTATTATTATTATGATATATTATTGTATCGAATTTTCTAGTTCGGAAATAGGTAGTTAGGTGTACGCGTTTCCGATATTATATTTCTCTCTGACACGTGTAAATTATTACGGTGTATTATTATAATAATAGTGTGACACAAGAATATTATTATTACCGTGACGGAAAGACGACGACGGCGACACAATAACACGCGAGTTTTACGGAACGATGACGGCCATGTCGTCTCGCGTGTGGTGGTCGTCGTTCTGTTGTTACACTGTATATTATTATTTTTATTTTTATTATTTAGATGATATATGATGTGCATATTTTTTATTTTTTTTATGATTATTATTACGGAAGACAACGTATGAATGAGATTTTTTTTATTATTATCAATGTAATATCCGGCCAATGCTATAGCTGATTCTGTTCGTTTCCGTTATGTTCAAAATCGTATGTACATACTATGCGCATAAAAATCTGATTATACAAAAATAAAATCCAAATATTTTATACTATTGCATAAAATAAATACTATAAAATACGTTGAATTCAGCTAGGAATTTATGAACTCGCCAGAAAACAATCAAGACAAAAATATTATATTGTAATCAATTAGTTTGTAAACATATTATTTAGCCGTGTTCAATTAATATTGAGTAGTACTTATCTATAGTAACATCTGGCAGGTCTTAAATTGTGCTTGAGCGAGCTAATAATATGAATATTGTACGCAATAGAGTACAATTTAACCACCGTCCATTCCAACGAAAAAGGTCGTATCTCTATTTCAGTTTCATATTTTTTTCTTCAAATTGGTTTAACTGTTTTTCTGGATTACCAACGAAGACCGCAGTAACTGCATCTTATATTATATTGTTTAGAACGTCTTTGGTTGATGTATGCTACAACCAGTTTCATTGGGAATCTAGAAAAACAGTTTTACCAATTATGCAATAAATCATGATCTCGACGATGACCAGCGAAATAATATTACTATCTATACAAAAACAAATTTTAAAGTATAAAAAAAGTTGATAATGTTTTAATTAAATAAATCATCAATTTATTTTTAATTGTAATACCTATAAAAGCGTTTAACACTAAAACTTCCAGATAATATAATATGGAAAAACAATTCATAATTAAATAATTTGATTAAAATATCAATATACGTGCATGAGGTAAATACCTACAATATTATTTATGTTAAAAATATATTCGATGCAATTATCTATATTTACCATCAATCTTGGCATTTCTTCTTGGCACGTTAAACAGAATATTACTCAACTATTTGTTTTTCACATTCGTAAAATTGTTATTTTAATCAGACTAAAGCGCTATATTTTTCGTACATACTTGATTTAAAAATTACGTATCTCATTATAGTTAATATACGACTTATTATTTGATCGAAGATTGTACTAAGATTATTACTATCTAACTAACTAGTAACTACTACCTACAACTGCCCATTAAAGTTCTCTTTTTTTAAATGTTATTATTTAGAACAATTACTTTTTATAGGTATATAATATAAAACCTACACTTATTACGTCTTAACATCGTTATAGTGTACCATTGGGGTTTTCAGACATTTGCTATCAGCTGAAAGATTGTCCTGTTTTTTGTTTTTATATAGTTTCTAGTTTCCTATTTGCCCGGTGATTGACGACCTGCAGGCCTTGGTCGATTAATCTTGCTAGACCCAACTGCAGCCTCCCATGAGGATATTTCCTATAGTTTTCGGGCTTATAGTTAGGTGACGAGAAGACTATCGTATACGTTTTCAGTGACTTTTTCTAGGGTTTTAATATCACCTATTTAAATAAATGTGGGTTCCTATCATATACCTTATACTCAGTATAAGGTCTATGGTACCTATATACTGTTGAATATATAAAAATAAACTCGAGAAACTGCAATTGGTACAATATATTTTAAAGATCGAATTTCGAACCCCAAAAAAGCTGGCTCTTATTATGTAGGTAATTAATGAATTGTTTATCAACACAATTTTTTTTCATATTTTTCAACTTGTCGTCGTCGGCTGTACGGTATACATTTGTAACAAGTGTTCTAGACAAAATGTTGATCAAGTTTTAATGTATCGCGATACATTTTTTTCTTGGCTTCTACTAATAAGCTTGTCGCTGTCACTTTCGACGTTATTGATGGAGTCCAACATTTCACTACTGCTGAATGCCTTCCTCGCGTCCTCTCTATTTTTCAGTTCTCGTACAAAGCAATCGTTTGTCTACGTTTCAATTCGTCCAATTATTGTGGCCAAAACCTCCGTTTTTTCCTCTTATTTCGCAATTTTACATCGCATACCTTCTTTCTTATACACTATTTTCACCCACGTTGTTTCCGCATCGTCCCACCTCGTAATAAAACTGAAACACACAGAGGTTCGAAGATTTATCGACGATGGCCTTAATAAGACTGATTGCGGTTTCGGTTTTATCGCAAGACTGCTGGTACTTATTAGTCCCTTTTTGGAGGTCCATATTATATGGATACACATGTGTATAAATATTGATCTGTACACTATAGGTACAGCTGATTTCATGGTAAACCGTTGGACGCCAGTCACTGACGAAATTAATTGACACATACATGCAAAGTATTCGATTAATAAATTAATATGTTACTAGAATAACGACGTTTTGACTAGTTATATATTTTTTACTCTTGCTAATCTCAAAAAAAATCGAACCCCCCAATAATTAATAATTGTTCAAACAAAATGTACTACGATTTTTTTTTATCCTCTCGTAGTTTTAATGTACTTACATATAAGACTTATACTAACTAAACATTATTAGTTATACTTTTTATTTAGCCGTTTTGGATATATCATGTAATAACTTACTAATAATAACTAAGTATAACATCATTGCGTATTTACATTAATTTCAATTAATGATTTCAGTGTAATATGTACTAACTATTATATATATTAAATAGCGGTGCAGCGTAATATTTAGTTTTTTATTTTTTAATTCAATAGTGTTATTACGTGTATTGAATTGTCGCGAGAGGCACTTCTTTGACGTACTAGCTTTGTTGTCGTTTCTCGTTTACTCCGACAACAATAATGTCCCCTTTTTATAAATTCGATGGATACTACGGTTCATTGGCTATAGCCCTAACTCATTCCTCACGAAATTGCAAAAGAATGTATTTGCTTCAATACTTTCTTCCCTTCGTAGGTACTCGCTGGTGATAAAACTCTCGGTGTCACCTGGTTTTTTTTTTATATTTATCAAACAACTTTTTTATCAGTCAACCATGGTATGTAGTATGGGCACTATATAATAATGTCATGTTACTACATTCAGTTTTCACAGAAGCCGTTAAGTATTTCAAAATACATATAGTCAATAATATTATTATCGATCATAATAGATTAATAATATTAAAAACATAATTGTTCAGATAATATTAAAAATTTAAAACAATATTTATACAATCCATATTAGCAAATCATTTTTTACTTATTTAATACAATTCTTTAAGACATTTTGCTGTATAATACATTGTCTTTGGTTTTACAAACATTTATTTTACTTTAAATTAAACTGTTTTGATTCAAGCAATGGATCAACATTGTAATACTTTATAATTTATCGACAATATTATATGGTATGCAAATTTTACTTAAGTTTGTGAAATAGTTTAAATATATATATAACAAAACCAATATTAACTGTTTTGAAGTTTATGTAGTATGTGATTATAAAAATGAATACCTATACGTAATACAATAATTAAAATAATTATTTTATTGAGGATTTTAATTTGAGCTTTTTTTTATTATTTGATTACAAACAAATGGTTATAATAACTATAGTAGGTAGTATGACTATCATAAACTTTTAAAATATTTATTGCTTATACCTATTTTGATACTACCTATTTTGTCCTTGATGAATGATAATAGAATTGAAGTAACATATTAACTGTGCATATTACATTATATTTAACTCTTCCTTATATTATATATTCATATTATTTTACTGCAAACAATCATTAATCATAATAATTATATATAATAAATTCTAACATGATTAATAGTTTTAGTATCAGTATAATAATTTGCTAAACATTATCAAATTGACTAACGAATAATTGATCGATTTGTCTTACAGGAGTATATGGAAGCGAAAATCGTGCAACTGGAATCTGAGTTGGTCGCAGAACGGCGAATCACGCAGAGGGAGAGGACGCTAAACTCCAAGCTTCAAAAACAATTAGCTCGGGTGAGTACAATACATAATATCAGTTATAGTTCGTCTCCGATTTTGCGAAACGCGTACAATATTCTTTATACCGAGGGACGTGGTCAGTTAGGCAAATGAGGGTGACCCCCGCGTTGGCATGGCGACCAACTGGATAACAATCCATGCAGTCTTTTGTATGTGCTCTCTGTAAACGGACTGGCGATATTGAATTCTCCGGCAAACGACGGTCCCCCCTCCCTCTGACATCGTGTCCCCTTACTTCCATGGTTAGTACATAATATAGGTACCTATGTATTAAACGGGTAAAAAAGGGGGTTGAATCAGACTTGATATGTTATTGTTATGGGCTTTGTCGAGATGACTTACGATTCAAAACAAGACTTTTATCCTTGCGTGGTGTAAGTGTACTGCAGCTTCTAACAAAATCTGTTTATATTTTACCGGAGATCGGAGAGAATTTCTATGTTTGAATATTTTAGTATATAAATCAGTACTTATACACACATGATGTATGTATAAATTTATATATTATAAATTATAATAAACAAAGTACCTATATATACATTATTTATAAGTAAATATAATATACATATATAGGTAATGTGATTCAAAAGCCAATACCTATCGTAGGTTGCTATTTTATTTTATTTTTTCAAAATGATTTTTTATTACCTTCGAGTACTTTTTTGTAAACCATGCGCATATTATATTAAAGGTTCCACGCGGATTGAAGTAAAATATTGTTTTTTGTTTAAATTCCATCCTACGTCATATAATATGCATTATGCACCTACAAATTGTTGATAGTATTTATTTTTCGGTCAGTTAACAAACATAATAGTAATATATTACAGAAAACTGCATGAACTCTTTTCTATCTTGATTAGTTCGCTAATGGAATGCTGTTATTTTCTAAATAAATAAATTAATAAATGTAAGCAATGAAAAATATTATTTTTGTTAATAACAGCTACTTATACCTACACTTATATTAGTGACTATTCACTAACACTTATATTAGTGACTATTCACTACCTTTGTTCAAAATCGAATACTTGAAACACAGTTTGTATATATTATTATCTGGTAGGTACCTATTGTAGTGAAGAAAAAACAATTATCTAAGAAAAAATAGTTAAAACAATGAAAGTTAAAATAACCTCAGGAGACATAATACAACATATATTTTACAAAACATCTGAAGACAACTTAGATTCAGCTGTGTCAAAACTGTCAACTGTGCATGATTTATTTTTTAAGTTTCAAAGATAAAAATATAGGCTTCTCTGGAGTATACCTACCATTTTTTTTTGGCAATTCAAATTTCGATTACTCAGAGGTTCGATAACTGCCAAAGAAAAAAGTTATTTATTATATCTGTTTATAATGACCGACTTCGCAATGGCGTTCCTCGACCAATTTCTAGAGGGGAGGAGGAGTGAGCCCGATCTACTATACTGTATACATATTATATTGTATTATTATATTTGAATTGTGGGGAGAAAAAGTTATGATGTTTTATAATAATATTAAATACTAATGTAATAAACATGCGAATACTATTCTTTTAAATTTTGGCCGTTTTCATATTATAATGAATCTCAATGAACTTATCTCTGGACTTGCTTGTAAAATATAAAAACATTTAATATTAATAGGCACAATAAAATTATAAATTACTTTTAACTTACAGAATTTACATAATAGTATTAATTAGTGATTTACATAATGTATTATAGCTATTACGACAAAATGCATTCATTAATCAATGCAACTAATCGTCAAAACGATAAGAAAATAATCATCCAAAGTAAAAATGTTTATTATAATTTATAGCAATTTATAAATATATCTGATTATATCTGATTATATCTGATTATATCTGATTTGCGGTCGTTAACATAAACACTAAAATAATTTTGTGAGATAGACATAATTCGATTTATGAGTATATATGTATTATATACAGTACATATGTATTACCTCGCGGAGTGTAATAACTAATAATCAATGATGTCGATTGAACTACATGTTTTTATATTCATTTTTATTGAAAAATAATCAAATTTCAATAGTTTGGATTTAAATCCCGTGGCTATGATCTGTGAATGATAAATATTTTTTACTAGACTTATAAGATTATCAGTAAATACACACGGTTATTTTAAATGTTTACTCACGATAAATAATAATTCATAAATAAAAAATGAACACTTGAGCAGTAATCATAAAAAAACGTATGGCTGCAGGCTGCATACACTTCAAAAAAGTAGATGAGAATAAAACCCTCGCAGACGCATAATATTTATAGTCACGGCGAATTGTAGGAAGACGACAAATCATATTTGGACCCTTCTTGCGCGGCCGGATTGTAAACGTTGAAGGTGAAGTCGCCCAACAGCTCTGACTTCTTGCACGGACGTGCAAGCGACAGTGTTGTATTTGCGTAACGCGGAGACATCGACCGGTTATGCCGTCCCACCTTCTCGGTGCGAAAATGTTTGGGTTCGATGACCGGTTGTTCCTTATACCTCGCGGTCGAGCACAATATCTACCGGCAACAAGTGTTTGGGATGCGACAGTGGCGTCCAATTCTAGGAGTCCATCATTGGCTTGCATACATGGCGTTGTATATTTTGAAACTGATCGCCGTTCCAGAACTGAGCGCAAAGTTATGTTCACCCGACGGGCCTGCGAACTATGCGTGACAGCAGGCCTTGAAGTCTCAGCCGCTTTACGTCACTCGTTTTGTCGTGTAGTCGAAGCAGGCCACGGTCGCGGTGGTGAACTAGCCGTGCGAGATCGGACAGTCGACGAAATATAACGTCAGACGATGGCCCAGGCCCACACCTAGTCACCGATATGGGCCACCATTTCCATCATTATTAATGTCCAGTATAGTCAGCTGGGACCGACACCCTACACTGTCAGCAGCTGATGCACTACCTGACTTAGCAATACAACGGGAATGAAAAAGTATCGAACTAAAATGCAAAAGTGTGCTTTTGGATTTCAGTACATGCAATAGAATAATCAAATATTTTCACAGATATTAGCGTTCAAATATTTGAACCTTCGGTGATTTGCACTGTGTACTATTATATTTTATGACATCCTCATATTTACTCCGAGTGCAATAAAGTCATTAGCTAATGGACTATATTTTTAATGTATTAAGAAATTTAAAAGTTAAAGTCTTAGAATTGAGCGTAATTGTAGTGGTCCATACTATTTATTGAACCAAGATCAAATAATCGATGATATAGAAAATATAAATAGATGTATTATAATTCTTATTATTTTAACCAATCCTATAATTTAGTTTAATAAACTTAAATTAATGTTTATAATAAAATAGGTTGTCATTGATTCAGCTATGGTTTTTTTTTTTTAAGAGCACTATTAGAATTATTTATTAAAACATAATATATTATATATATATATAGCTATTTACAAAACAATAGCTATTTTGCCATCACCAACAACTGTTAACTTAAACATTTTAAAATTGCTCTAAAAAATTTTTCGTTAAAATTAAATGAACAGTATTTCGTCGTTTTTAAATTTTTTTTCCCTCAATTCCATGTGATTAATAATAATAACAAAAAAAAATTTTGATCGTAAAATGACATGAGATACACACTGTATATTATTTAACGCTCGTGTGAATGATGTACTAAATATATATACCTAATGTGTATAATATATGTTATATATTTAAGCTAATGACAATCCCTCTCGGCTCTGGTTTATGTTTCATGTGAAGAGTTAGAGTGACAACGGTCCTTAGCTTTCCACACAACTTCCCCCTTTTAATTTTGAAAAGTGCTGCATTTCGTTTGTCCGAAACAAAGAGGTAGCGAGAACAATGTCAAAAAAACGTCCACTCAAAAGAGTATGACGAAATAAAGGAGGAGATACCACCCTTGTTTGTTGTACGCGTATTGTCCTCGGTAAACGAGTAATCTTTTAGATCAAACAAAAATAGCGTTTACGCAAACATAATCATGGATTGACTTATTGTATACAAACATTTTTGGGTTTTCGATTAAAAAATAAACGTAACAGAATTTGGATTAATTTCTTATAGAAAATTGTTTCGTGTCCGAATATGATAAATGTTTCTCGCGCGGACGAGTTGCCAAGAGTGAAGTCGTCCCGGGGGGCGCATAAAGAACTTCAATATATAGGGGAAGTTCTTGTGAAATCTTATTTAACCATCTGAGACCTTTGTGTTACGGTTCAAGTATCGGCCAAAAGTGTTTGGCTTTAATTGGACGTTACGCCTGTTGGTCAACTCAATTTTCTAAAAAAAAAAATGCTCAGAACCTCCTGCATGTATACAGGTTTACACCTAAGTTATGCACTCATACATTTTACATCCACATCACCGTTAGAGTTAACGTAAATGTGATAGCTAATATTGTTTTAGAAGCTGAACTTGTATTGTTTTATTTCATTATTATTACGCGTTATACAAATGCATATATATATAAATCCATATATTGTACAGTAGAATATTATATTAATATGTCGAACGACGATATCTCAAATTGTTCGTAATCTGGAACTCCATTGAATCCTCTTGAAATAATTACCATAATTATTACAATAGAATTCGATAGGTACATCAAAATATTTTTGATACCTTGAACTTTTTTCTATTCTCTTCGAGTTTCGACACAACGAGAGTTAACTCTCTGTATTTATACAACTGTTATTCAACGCTACACAATTGATGTACATATGAATATTTGTAAAAGGTTCGTGAGTAGTCTATATATTATATAATCAGCGAATTCAAATTAACCTGGCGTTTCGATTAACAGCAATACTCGGCTTGGCTATAAATTACATTATGCAAAACACGGGATTGCATTATAAATACATATACTATAATAATAATACTTTAGGGAGGTAAAGCGTATATCGTACAAATAGGGTACCTTTCCGACAATAATCCCGTAAACTGGATTATTTTTCGATACAAATTTAACTCGTTTATTATATTAGGAAAA